AGTCAGTCAGTCAGTCAGTCAGTCAGTCAGTCAGTCAGTCAGTCAGTCAGTCAGTCAGTCAGTCAAAGATATATCGATTCGTTGCCTGTTTTAATGACAGTTAAACATCTTTTCTTTATGCATAATTTAAGGAAAAGGATTACTCTAAAGATGTAAATTCATATTTTCAGTGACGTGTTTCGACACAATACATCAGTGTTATCATCAGAGTATCTGCAGGTTTTTACTTTTGTTCATTTCGCCTTTTTGGTTTCATCCAGCGAATGTCAGTTAACTGGGTATTGCGTGAAGCATCATCGCGTTTTCACTCCAGGTTCATCGGTTACGGGATATTACTTTGGATTCTCACATATAGCTTCATCAGTAATGAATTGATGTCATTGAAAAATAACACAAAACTTTAGCAGTCTGATGTGGGTTCTTATTCAAGTTTTATTGGCAATATCAGTCTTCCTTTGTGGAGTTTGTGATAGTACTACATTCATCTTAGTTTTTACAACTGCATATGCCAGTTCAACAAGAAATTTTGAAAGCTAGATCTGCAGACACTGCGCTTAGCTCACGTTACCTTCTCTGATAAACGGCGATTCTTCTACTTACCTCAAAAGGATGAAATGATGAAATTGAGATGACCAACGCTATTGGATTCGAATGCATCGTTTTCTAATATGTAGTTCGATGAGATGGATACCTATTTTATTATATTTTAAATTGTCGTCAAAGCGAAAGATGGATTTGCAGGCTTCCTTGTCTAAGCTTAGAGTCTGACTGTTCTTGAGAGGTTTACTGTGAAACCACGAAGCGACCTTTCCTCCTGTCCGTTTCACTGACTGCTCATTCTCTCGCGATTATCGCATCATGTTTCTCTCTGCCATGAAATTTTTTTCTCACCGATCGTTGTTTCGTCTCTATGAAGAGAACTCATGGTTGGCTTTTCAGTGACTAACCTAATTTCTATCTTGTAATTAAAGGCGACTTAAAAAGTTATTGCTGAATATTCAAACTTCTGAACCAGTTGATGACTTCTTGGGTAATATATAGGATTATAGGATATTTGTCACTCAACGATCGATTTTCCTGAAGGGCGTTCGAGAGCGTGCTGTATAATTTGATTTGCATGATCGTAGTCATATGATTGTCGGTAAATCACATTCATATGGTTAAGCAGGTGACCGCTGCAGCTATATCCGGACTGAGTCCGACTGAGAACCACAGTGAGCTGAGTTTCGGGCTTGGGGTTCTTTGGGGGAAAGGAATTAGAGTTTGCTATTGACGGTTAAACCATCCAAGTCATTTCACTGCTGCTGGTTGCTGGTCGTGACTGTGTGGGGAAGTCGTCGATGGCCCTCCACTATAGCTTTAATGATTTGAAGCATTGTACCAGCGGGTTTGTGAAATTGGAAAGAGATTAGCCCATAAATTACTGATTAATAATTTTGTTTTCTAAATATTTGACAAATGTCGGTTTGATTGAATGATCTGCTTTAGCTAATTCAACAACCACTTTTTGGTACATTTCTAGATTTCGACACACCCCAGGCACGGCATCAACACTACCTTCAACTCACCACGCAGTGACCAGGGCGTGCTTAGAGCTTGATCACCATCAAATGCTTATGGATCTAATCGCTGACCCAGTATAGAGCAATTTCCTGTGTGCACTACTAATGATCTTGCATTAGATTAACTACGGCATTTTTCCAGACGCTTTCGCAGCCAATATGGTGCTAGACAAGTTTATAGAGACAGGAAACTTTGAAGGTATTAAAAAGTTTGAAAGTCATTTTCATGCGGCGGTTTTAGAATTTATTTAATTTTATGAAGTTTTTTAAGACGCTGCAAAACTGTCGTCCTTCATGATGCTGCAGGAAGAATTTTCCAACAAACTCCTCTGCTGGATGACCACATATAGCTGTTTGAAGTGGCTGAAGAGTCCTGAAGCCAAATCGCAGTCTTCGATTGTGGATAAACCACAGATGACGCAGGAGGAAGATGACGAGGAGGTTTGAATTGTTTCATATCATAGTTGATTATCTCGTTAGCATCGGAAACCAGATTATGAACTAGGTTAATCGTTTAGAACGGCAAAAATTAGAAGATGTGAGAATATAGATCCGTTTGAGTCCTTCAGAATTTCAAATAATGATTTGTTGTT